GTAGTGCTGGTTCAGCTGCACAGCAACCTTGGAAACAGACATAATATAAAAACTAACACCTGAGAGCACTGTTTTTTGGTACACATAACCACAGGCATATTCTGTACTCTATCTCCTGTTGAAACAGCTAAACACTCTTCTGACTTAAGCATTAAGGTTCTATTCCCTGCCATCAGGAGCCAGAAATTTGAAATCTGCCCTCAGCACTTACCTATGCAGAAAAGGGAAAAAAAGTTATACAAATATCAGGAAGCAGCAGCATGGAAAGAACTAATTGAACAGCATCTACAAACACTGCATTACAACTTAATCCATTTCACTTCATCCTTGGGTCAAAGAAAGAGATGCTATGTACATATTTCTTTGCTATTCTCCACATTTAAACCTAATCTCTGGCTAGTTCATTTTATACCCCAACTGCAGGCAAATAAATCTCTGCCCAGTCAATATCAAGAAATATATGAGTAGGATGTACAGAGGGGAGGAGGCATCTTAGCTAAATTATATTTTCTCATTTTCACACATTGGGATTGAACCATCTATCTCCCTGTACTATTAACAGGCCTATGCACAGTTAGGGATAATCTCACTATTAAATATTCAGCACCCACATGGGGGTTGTTGAAAATAAATCACACCTTTCCACAAGATTTAGAGCCTTGGTGGTAATAAGAGTGATATATGATAGCAAATCCTTTTGTAGCAAGGTGAAAATAAACACCTTATTGGTAGGGAGAGGTTTATTTTAGCTTTTAAAAATAAATTATAAAAAGATAGGACAATACAATTATAATTTTGTATGACAAGCTGTCACGGGGCGGGGTCCCCAGGGATGAGCGTGATACCCCTAGGGCTCCCTGACCATGCCAACCCTGCCCAACGGGCACCCTCTTTCTCCCCTGCCACGTCTTGGTATAACTGTAATAAATAGGGAGGCTGCCCTCAATAGATTCATAGATTGTAGAGTCAGAAGGGACCACAATGGATCATCGTGTCCGACCCCCTGCCCCTGGCAGGAAAGAGGACTGAGGTCAGATGACCCCAGCCAGGTGACTATCTAGCCTCCTCTTGAAGACGTCCAAGCTAGGTGATAGCACCACCTCTCTTGGAAGCCCATTCCAGACTCTGGCCACCCTTACTGTGAAAAATTTCTTCCTAATATCTAACCTAAATCCACTCTCAACTAGTTTACACCCATTATTCCTAGTCACTCTCTGGGGCGCCTTAGTAAACAGCGCTTCCCCTATTCCCCATTGACCTCCCCTAATAAATTTATAGGCGGCCACAAGATCTCCCCTCAGCCATCTCTTGTGAAGGCTGGAGAGATTCAGCTCTTTTAACCTCCCCCCACAGGGTCTATCACGAAGGCCACTAATCATGCGAGTGGCCCTCCTCCGGACCCTCTTGAGATTCCCCTTGAAGTGCGGCGACCAAAACTGGACACAGTACTCCAACTGCGGCCTGACCAGTGCCACTTAGAGGGGGAGCATCACCTTTTTTGTTCTGTTAGTCATGCACTTGTTAATGCATAACAAGGTGTGATTGGCTTTGTTGATGGCCTCGTTACACTGCCAGCTTACGTTCATCTTGGAGTCAATTATGACTCCAAGATCCCTCTCTGCCTCCGAGCTGCTGAGAAGGACACTCCCCAACCTATAGACGTGCTGGGATGCCATTAAGAGTCACTAGTGAAGGAGGCAGTGAGGAATGTTCAAGCTTTGTGGGGAAGAATGAAGCAGCACCCTCTGGTCCACACCCTCGTCCAAATAGGTGATGAAAATATTGAATAATATCAGTCTGAGGACCGAATCCTGCGGTACCCCACTGCTCACCTTCCTCCAGGCCAAGAAGGAACCATCCACCACCACTCTCTGGGTGCAGTCCCTAAGCCAGGTGGCCACCCGCCTGACCGTGTAGGTGTCCACTCCACAGTCTGCTAGCTTCCCAATGAGGATAGGGTGCGAAACTGTATTGAAGGCCTTCCTAAAGTACAGGAAGATGACATCAGCCTCGGCTCCCGCATCCAGGCAGCGTGTGACCTGGTCATAGAAGGCTACAAGGTTTGTCAGGCAGGATCTACCTGTGACAAACCCGTGCTGGTTTCCCCTCAGCATCGTTTCCCCTGCTGGGCCTGCACAAATGTGTTCTTTGATTATGTTCTCTAGCATTTTCCCAGGAATAGAGGTAAGACTGACTGGTATAAATTTACCCGGCTCATCTCTTCTCCCTTTCTTGAAAATGGGCACCACATTGGCCCTTCTCCAGTCCTCAGGGACCTGGCCAGAGCACCACGAGTGCTTGAACAGCTGTGCCAGCGGTTTGTTTGGAGACAGTCCTGATGGACCCCACTGAACTCTGTGGGTTCTCAGACCCCCTTTTGGGTCCCACTCTAAAATGGATGTCTCAGGACACCCTCAGCTTTATGGGCTAGAGGCGTGGCTCCAAACCGCCCCAAGCCTCACAACTGGCTTTCACACAGTGTCTTTCAGATGCCTTAGTTTCACTTGGCCTCTGGTCGGTGCTGGGCTCTCTGCAGTCCTGTCTCTTTCTCTTGGCGCCCCTCGGTGCTGGGGTCCATGCATCCCAGATACTGCGCCCACACTGGCACTGGGGTCCATGCACCCTGGATACTGTGCCCACACTGGTGCTGGGGTCCCCACACTGTAGTGGGCCCCCAATGAGGCCTCCTCCTTCCCCAATAGTCTCAGCCCAATCCACCAGTTTTACAAACAGAAATCAAAATACGAGTCCCTGGGCTATAACATAATTCAAGCAGCTCAGGGTGTGCTCCATCCCTTTAAAAGAATCACTGTTCCCCAGCACTATAGGCCTTGTAGGCCAGGGTATCTGGTGAGCTCCTGAAGTCCCTTAATCTTACCAGAAGCTGAACGGGCAGTCAGGCCTCTTCCCCTAGCTTCCTCTAGGAGAGCTCCTTCCCCCTTGGCTGCTGGCAGAGAATTAACTCTCTAGTCCCAGCCCTGGGGTTTAAATGGGCCCAGGGCCCTGCCTCTTCCAGTCAGCTGACCAGGTACAGGTGCAGGTGCAGGCTAATTTGCTTGTTAGCCTGTTGCCATGGTAACCTGTACCTGTGGGCTTCTGTCTGGCTCTTTGGGCTCTCTCCCCAGGCGGTTTCTGCTCTTAGAGGAGCAGGCACCTTAGTGCCCTGCGACACAAGCCAATTGTTTTTTCAGAAGTATAAGGTTTCTGGTCATGTCTCTTCTGTGATGCTGTTCAACAGATTTGCCAAGCAATCTCCCCAGGTGTTATTAGCTAGTACATACATGCTTCTAGTCATCGCTAATTAAGAAAGGCTTATCTTAGAATCATAGAAAATTAGTGTTAGAAGGGACCTCAGGAGGCCATCTAATTCAACCCCTTGCACAAAGCAGGACCATCCAACTAGATCATTTCAGCCAGGGCTTTGTCAAGCCAGGCTTTAAAAACATCCAAGGATCTGGATTCCACAGCCTCTTTAGGTAACCTCATTCCAGTGCTTCACCACCCTCTGTCTTAGTCGTTATATCATGCTGGTGATGATTTACACAAAAGAACTGCCAACTAACTGGGAAGTACAAGTGACTGGAAAACAGAATTTCTGTTCCCTGGGAAATTCCAGTATTTTGAACTTTATTTTCATCCTCAACCAGCATAAACATTGAAAGTTTAATATTTCTTGTGGAAACTTCAAAAAATTAGTGTAAAAACATCAAAATGTTTCATTTTGATACTGTCAATACTTGTCACATTAAATATTATGCAACAAAAACAGTTCCATCCAAATGTTTCTAAAGCTGAACTGAACAGTGAGTCAAGGGAATGCCAGACAGGCCAGAGAGGTGAAGGTTACAGTATTAAGGGCAGCGATAAATTTTAGGAAAGGGAAATACAATAAACTATTTCGATTCTGGATAGTTTTTGGAGATAATATTGGAAATACTCAGTAATAGTAGCTATGGGATAAAAAAGAAGGAGCAAAGTTGAAAAATAGGTACTGATTATGTGAGCTTGTGGAATACAGGGAATGCTGAAACAGCTAGTGGCAATATAGAAGGAAGGGTGAGGGAAAGATTTGGAAGGAAAGATGAAAAGTTGACTTTACATAAGAGCAGGACCCCTAGTTGGAACATAAACTTAAGTTCTGTAAGGGATGGTGTTGTATCTCTACTTTCCCCTTGAATGCAGTCATTCTGGTCTACTTAAAATCCAATTTACTAATAAGAAGACTGTAAGTTTCTCACAACATGAAAAAAGTATCTGTAGAGTCTACAAGAGATTCTTTGAATGGAAAAAGCAGCTGATACCACCAGGAATATTCCTGCCTCAGAATTTTATAATTGCAATAATACAACAGAAATGGACCTTTTACTCTGTACAATACGGTATGCTAGCAGAGAGCCTCTTAAAATACATGTGAACAGATTCATCCATCAAACCTCCATTTTATTTTCTCTTTCTCCCTCTTTCCATTTTACTCGCATTATAGATAAAGATTCAGAAGTCATAATATCCATGGTCAAGGATAACAGATTCTGGTTGTGATCTCCTTGGCGGCAGCATCTTAAATCAGGGAGAAAAATCTCCCATAGCTCAACATGCTCCATTAATTTCCTCAGGTTGTAGTGTTATTATGGAGAAGCTGAAGATCAAACTATGACCACAATGTAAAATACTGGGTTTAGAGGGTGCTCCTGAGTTTATGGGATATATGGATATATATGTATATTGGTTATTTTAAGCAAAAATATTTATTCTGTTAATGATTTGGGACCCTAATATTTAGTTATTGTAAATATTTAAATTATAGATCACACAATCACCATAATATACCTAGAAATTCAATTTCAATAAATCTTGTTGGGAAACAACCAATGTTACACAAATAAATCCTTAAAATAGGAGATTATGAAAAAGTCATAGTCATTTGTTAATAAATGAATTATCTCAGCAACAATTCTGACAAGTGCCAGCAACGTGAAAATGATAGAACAGCCTAAACTTACAGTTCTATGGCCTTGTTCCACATGATGACATATCCCGAAAGAATGAAGGACTCAATATTAACAATGTGCGTATTTCCCCTTTCTGTGCCAACATAGAGCCATTTACTCTGGAAAGGTAGATGGCAGTAAGTAATCCTGCAAAGAAAAAAAACATGCAATGTAAAGCTGTGCCAATGAACAGAATTTCAATAAGCTTTCAGTTGAAACAGCTGTGCTCTATGTTTCCCAGGGTTCAGAACAGGCTGGGTAGTGGCTCAAAAATGTGGTCTTTCGCACACTTCTTATAGATCTGTGAAAAAGTGGCGATACCGCATGATGTGGACTCCCTTTTCCACAGGTAACCAAGTTCTTTATAACAAGGAAGCTAGGAAGTAAAGAGGAAGAACCAATCTACTTGTGTCTAGTAGGAGAAGGAAAGAAAAGTCCTCTTAATATAGTTACGTGCGGTCATGTATGGAAGGTAGTAGACAAAACAACCTTTTTGTGAATACATGGACCACACTATGAAACCATCTGATCTAAGCTTTCTGATTTGTGTCCTTTGTAAAAAGCTATTTTTTCAGTTCAGCAAACAGGAAATTAATGAAACATGAGCATGTTTAATGTTTTGTACAATGGAAATATAACATAATGACTCATAAAAAATGTTCACTTTATTAGCTCTTAATCAGTCTGGAGGGTATGCAGCTGGATAGAGCATTACCAAGTGCAGTCAAGCAGAGAGCTGATTTATACTCTCACTCCCGCATTTATACAACTTTTACAGAATGATGAAGTAGTGCTCTATTGCTTAGGAAGAATCTCGTGATGGTCTCTCATGATAATATACAACAATTTTGACAAAGATGATGAATGAACAGAGTCAGTTCTTTTGACGTTATAGTATTTACATTAAATTTAAAGCTAAATCCACATGAGGCATGTAAACTGTTGCCAGTTCAAATCTAATTACATGTATGCTGCCTACACAGGCTGAAGCTTAATCTGATTCTACAGTGCATTCTATCACTCAAGAGGTCTGTCTTTATTAAAAGCGATTATTTTGCCTGGTATGCAATACTTTATTATTTCATTATATTTGGCATTCATTTGATTCCAGAAACAAATATTTCTTGCTTTGAGATACAAATTAGAGTTAACTGCTAAATAAATATTTTATCATGTCTTTTTTTCCTAAATAATGTGCAATATTTAACAATATACGTATAACTAGTTCATACTTTCATGAAATAATAGACTTTGGGGGCTGATTTTATAATGAAGTGGCTGTAATCAAAGTAATCTGCCTGTTTCAAAAACGCTAAAGTTGCTTATGTCCTCTGGGGCTAAGAATATTTGAAACCTCCTAAACTGAAAGAATTGTTTCATTTTGAAACTAGTTTGCCTTATATCTCTAATTATTCTTTATGTGGTATCCTCAGCAAATTATATTCCTTTCTCTCCCTGCAGGCCCTACACAATACTTTTAATGGCTATGTACTTTTGAGGCTATCAAATCATATTATCAGAACATTTTATGCTGGATGCACTCAGGTGAGCTATTTTACTTTTGCCTTTTATATTGCTCCAGGTTCAAGGAAAATTGACTTGTGCATCTTTGAAATCCTCACTTAGGGTGCAATTCACCTTGATGTAGAAGGCTAGCAAAAAGTCTCTGCATTTTATACATCTTATTTTGATGAATAAATTGGAACACAGACATTTGACTTGACTCAGTATGCGATAAATTTAACTGTTAAAGGCCTAATGGTGTCAACAGCACAGACTGAACTAACTTTATGAGATGCAAGTTTAGGCCTTTAGACACAGTTTTTTAATATCACAGAATCATAGAGAGGTAGGACTGGAAGGCACCGCCAGAAGTCATCTAGTCAAGCCCCCTACCAAAGGCAGGGTCATCCTTCTCCAAACCATCCTAGACAAATCCATTTTCTAACCAAGGGGTTGTCAACTGGGGGTACTTGAGAAAGCCTGAGGGGGGTATGTGCAGGCGGGTGGGGGAAGCTCACACGTAACAACTAAATTAGTGATTCCCCAAGAGTGTGCTGTGGCATGCTAGTGCTGTGAGAATGGTGGAAGCATGATGTGAAAAATGATACTTTATCTATATCATACATGGCCTGTGGAGTTCCCCACCAGTTCATAAAATTGGCAGTGGGCAAGTGGTGGCAATTAATACTGCAATTAGTACTGCCACTGTTCTCCCACCACCAAATTTCCAAGCTCCATGCTGCTAGATTGGACTGCAGCCACACTGGTTTCTCTCTCCCTGTCACACACACACACACACACACACACACACACCTTTTCAGGAGTAAGAGTGAACTGTGCTGTGTGCCAACAATTTTAGTCCAGAAAAAAGTGTGGCCCAGGTATCAAAAGTTTGGGACATACTGGACTAAATCATGTGGCCACATATTTTGAACATATCAACTGAAGGGAAAAAAAAGTAGAACACTCTCTCTTTCAGATGATTAAACCTCTTCTGGCTAAAATAAATAATATCTAGAATGAATAGAGAAAAGGCTGTCACTGGGTAAATCACAGTCCCATGTCCTCATCAGTATATATCAGAGGTGTCAAACCCATCTGACTCCATGGACCAGATGAGCAGCATGAGGCCACTCCACAGATGAGATCAGGCCCACTGGCACCCCCTTCTACCCCCATGTCTAATCCAGCACAGGTGGCACTCATGGGCCTGTCCGGGACACTGGCTCAAACCAGGTGCTGCGGGCAACACAACCAGTGCTGCTTGGGACCTGGCCCAAGCCAAGAACCGTGGACAGCACATGTCCCAAGCATTGTTCATGGGGATGGTCCAGCACAGCAAAAGGAGCAGCACCAAAGGCTGGATTATCGGGCTCCACAGGTCAGATCCAGTTCGTGGACCATATGTTTGACACAGCTGGCATATATAATCTCTATGTATGGTAGCCTTATTTAAAATCTACAAGCACTTGTAGAGTAACATTAACTTGGGTAGTAACATCAATAAGGTATGGTTACATTATTTATTAATTATGATTGCATTGATAGGCCTCTACACAAAAAGCCAAGTGCTTTCAATATGCTAAAAAACTGCACTATTTAGTATAATACCATTTTCTAAACTGCATTATTTTTCAATTATATACATTTAATAAAGACTGATTTATGATCTTAGAATCAAAGTTCTGAGCTCGAGTTCAATGCTTAAGTTTTTCAAATAAATTTCAGGTTCATAATGAAAAACTTTCATTTCAGCAGAGTACAGTTGTTCAAAGAGAGTGCATCTTATATACTGTGCCTTAGCTTGGACAAGAAATCCATTCTTGCATTATTCATATAAACTCCAATCAAATGAAGATGTATTTTGATGCCTACACAAGCAATCAGAAGCAGAGAGGCAGAAAAAAGCAATGCCTATGATAAAGAAAATCAGATCATTATGGTTCATGAAATGGGAAGCACTCCTGCCTATAACAACCTGCTTCATTAAGCTAGATGATGGAGCTGACAAAAGACTTCAACCTAGGAGATGCTGAGAATCTGCTGAAAACTGGCAAATTCTACTGAAGTCCATGGGAACTGTAAGTATTTAACAGACGCTTCACAATCCAGGATTAGGCCCAAAGGTTGCAAAGCAGCTGAAATGGTCTTTCAGACTTACAGGATATGATGAAGACAGTGGAAAACGCATGGATTGAATGTGGTATCTTGAAAAGAATTTCTATGTCTCCAAAATAGATCCTAATTTAATAATAGACTTTCAAAGCATCCAACATTGAACAGGACATTAAAATGGAACATAACCAAGACATACCAAATAAAATACTAGCATCTAACTTCATTATGGTTTAGCCTGTCTGTTTCTACACAGAAGGCTTGATTATCCTCTTACACTGGATTATATTTGCTATGTTAGTGTAAGCACCAACTCCAGTGGAGTTCCTCCTAATTTACAATAGTGTAAAGGATAGAATCTGGCCCAGAGTATGCAGTCTTGTCTAACATGCTTTCAAAAGAGCTCTGACTTCTTTCCTAAGGCCATTTTGATCCTTTCCCCTGCCCAATCTGCTGCTCAGCTTTCCACTCCTTTCCCTGAGCTCCCTCCCTAATCCCATGTTCTGCTTTCTGCTCCCTGTCCTATTTGCCACTGTGATGTCTGCTCCATCCCTGATCTGCTTTGTGCCACAAGAAGAAACTACCTGTGCCACATGTGAAATACATGCCACAAGTCGGACACCCCTGACATTAGTCTCAGGCTACATACAAATGTTTAGTTTCTACCAGGCAATTTGCCTACTGTTCATCTAGTAGAAACCAGAAGTATACAGCCAGACATTCAGGCTCTCTCTCCCAGACCAAAAATGGCCACTCCAAGAGAAAAATATCCCTGCAACAGACATGAATAACTTGTTCCTGAAAGAGTTTTTCCTGGGAGGCTTGAGGTATCTGTATACTTTATCCCATTTCACACCTCAGGGGATCAAGAAATACAAACCCAGGATTTTTGTATTATATTTGTAGCCTGCACTTTATAATTTGCCTACTGCTATTAAGCATAGTGCTTGCCAAAGGATTCCCTGAACCCAAGATCATGTCTAGACTAGGAAAATTAATTGTGTGTTAAATGTTCTAATGTTTCTGGGATTGACTCTAGGCTTCCCCTGTTGCAGAGCACTAGTACATGCCCCAAACTAAGGAGCTCCAAGAAAAGGTTAAAGAGGAATACAAAGACTGAGAAACCTGTGCTTGGTATTATTTTCAAACAGACCCTTGTCAATCTCCTACATACTCAGGGGTAGGTAAAATGACCTAGCACTTTGTGGTAAACATAAATTATTGATGTATGCATAGAAAATCATTTCAATAAATACCCAGACCTGCGTACTCAGTGATGAGTGGTACAAAAACTGGCAAGTTTCAGAAAAGATTGGGAGTAGAGTGAACTGACAAGATAGTAGAAAAGCTACTTGATAGAATAATAGGACAGAAAGTGAGTGAAAACTCAAATATACAAAGCCATGAAATTGATACCAAAATTACAAAAAAGAAACTGCAACATAATTCTGGGCAAGATTTCAAAACCTCCTCTGACGGTATTTCATAGATTTCATAGACATTTGGGCTGGAAGGGACCCCAGAGGATC